TCAAGCCCCACATCCGGCTCTGTGCTGACAGCTCAGAGCCTGGAGCCTACTTCAGCTTCTGTGTCTCCCTCTTTCTCTGCCCCTGCCCCACTCATGCTCTGTCTTTCTCTTTCTCTGTCTCAAAAATAAATAAGCATTTAAAAAACTATAAATAAATAAATTTAAATTATACTTTAAATTTTTAAATAGAAGGTTTTTAAAAGAAATTTACTTTTTTAATGTTTTTATTTATTTCTGAGAGAGAGACAGCATGAGCAGGGGAGAGTCAGAGAGAGAGAGGTAGACACAGAATCCAAAGCAGGCTCCAGACTCTTAGCTGTCAGCACAGAACCTGACGCAGGGTTCGAACCCATCAACCAGAGATAATGACCTGAGCCAAAGTCGGACGCTTAACCACCTGAGCCACCCAGGTGCCCTTTAAAAGAAATGTATTAAATAATACTTTTGCTATAGCAAACACTTAATGGGGTATGCAAATAATTCAAGCTTGGGAAACACTGGTAGGAGAGAGATTACGGGATTTCCAGGCTTTCAGATATGAGTTCAAATCCTGTCTCTGTCATTTACTAGTTACTGAATGACCCTGTGAAAGTTGCTTAACTTTTATGAGTCTCAGAGGACTCATCTACAAAATGAAATATAACAATACTTACTTTATAGGGTTTTCCTGAGGACAAAATGAAACCAAGCACTAAGACCCTTAGCAGAGCCCTGGGCATCTAAGTCGGCACACAGTCAACGGCAGCTATAATGCCTGACAGTCCAAACATCATACACATATTCAAACAAATCCCAGCCATGAGGCTATTTATATAAATGTGTCCATTTATTCCAGCTGACCTTTCTTTTCCATCTTTCTTCTCCGTAATTGCATTAGAGCTTCAAGTGAGCACTCACTAGGCTGAAAAGGAAGATCAACGACAAGACACAGGGGCAGAAGCTAACAAGAGGCCTGAAGGACTCAGGGTCTGAGCAGGTTAGGGGGCTCAGAACAGATCCCAGAAGATAAACAGTCTGTGTTTCAACAGAGATATTACCCTTTTAAGAGCATGGCGTGAGCAAGCATCCACTTTATAATTATTAACTCAGATTCTAAACATGAAAAGCCAAATGACCTGAACAGAATGAAAGCCAGGGACGGTCTTATCAAGAATGAATCAGCCTCTTTGATCTTGAGGTAAACCAACCCACTAAACATCAAGCTTCCACCTGGGGTTTTTCCAGACACTAAAATGGTTGCCTAATTCTCAGCTGTCTGGAGGTGCCAGTCCAAACTGGCCTTAAAGGAAAAAGAAAAAAGAAAAAAAAAAAAAGACCCACTACCTTTCCGGAGTCCGCACTGCATTAAAAACACATACTGATCCATGCTGCTAATCCAAAGAAACAGGGCATCCAAAAATATTTTTAACTAAAAAGTACCCAGGTAAAGTGAAAATAAATTACTCCACCCAACTTGGAAGGAAACATTCAAGCATAAAAAGAGGGGTAAACAGGATGAAAACAGAGAGCAGAGGGAGAAGGCATTCCGAGGTTAGGCAGAAAAGTAGAAGATGGGAGGAAGACCCAAAAGTGGACACAAAATACAGAGGGAATTGGTACAGAAGGAGAGGTGTGAAGAAATGGGTGAAAAACAGCAAAAAGAAGGAAGAAAGGGGTTCAGCTGGGCAAAAGCCATGGTAATGAGCGTTTCTCACTACATTTCCAGAAGCCTCTCCTACCTACCCACCCAGATCGTGAGCACTACACCGTGAATTCATCAGCATGCAAATCACCCCCTTTATCTGCGGAAATTGAATTCAGCTGCCAATCTTGATTGAGGGCATAGAGGCCTCCTCACAGAAAGATCACAGCTCTCAGGGAAAATGCCTTTTCTCCCCTTAAATCAAAGCTTGCATAAACCCAAGGAAACAGCTGCAGCTGGAGCCACGGACTCTGTGAAAGGTGGCAGGCTAAGGACGGTAATTATGATTAGCAGTTACATAACATGTTTGTTCTTCAAAGTGCTCTATAAGCATCAGCTAATTAATAGCTTACTATGCCCCATGCAGATCCACTGGTTTTTCAAGTAGTGACTAATCCTTGTATCCCCACTGAACTCTGGACGGTGGAGGCAGAGCAGTGTGAGCAGTGAAGCAAACGGCTGAGGGTCCAGAAGCCATGCCCAGCTCTCTCCAAAAGTGATTCCAGAGGTAGCTCAGGGCCAGGAACATTTCCCCAAACGTTTAATTCAGCACCCCATGGGACAGCTGCCTCACATCCTTCAAATAATTCTTAGAAGTGCTGCTAGAGGGGGTGCTTGGGTGGTTTGGTCAGTTAAGAGTCGGACTCTTGATTTCAGCTCAGGTCATGATCTCGCAGTTCACAAGTTCAAGTCCCACATCAGGCTCCACGCTGACAGTGCGTAGCCTGCTTGGGATTCTCTCTCCCTCTCTCTCAATCTCTCTCCTGCTTGTTTGCTCTCTCTCTCTCAAAATAAATAAATAAACTTCAAAAAAAAGTGCTGTTAGGGGCGCCTGGGTGGTTCAGTCGGTTAAGTGTCCAACTTCAGCTCAGGTCTTGATCTCACAGTCCATAGGTCTGCATCCCGCATGGAGCCCTGTGCTGACAGCTCGGAGCCTGGAGCCTGCTTCAGATACTCTGTCCCTCCCCCGCTCGTTCTCTGTCTCTCTCTGTCTCTCTCAAATATAAATAAACATTAAAAAAAAATTTTTTTAAGTGCTATTAGAGATGCAATAAGAGGGTGGAATGACCATCAGTCTGCTCCAATATGGCATTAGCTCTTCTCAATTTCCCTGATTAGACTGGGACTTTGGGGTCCCGGGTGTTAGTTACAGGTCCGTCCTTGCTTCTCTGTCCAAGGAGGGGAAGTCAATGAGAACTCTGTAAGAACAGGCTGCACTAGATCTCTCGGTTCTCATCCACATCTACCCTTCTTTGTTTCTCTGACTGCAGCCTCTAGCCCACATCATCTTGCATTTGTGGTAGAGATGACCTGATGTGGGAACTGCCTGGCACGGATGGCTCTGGCAGCAAAACTGAGTTCTTCATCTACTCCAGAAGCGCTTTATCCAAGAACTTCAGAAGTTCATGAACATCCTGAGCTTGTAAACCATTGTATGTATATGTATATGTGCATTTCTTTGGAGAAAAATCTGTTTACCCCGCTGCCCCCTAAATTCTAAGAAAGTGTCTAGTTCACACATAGTGTATCTTAAATAGATACCTGTTAAATTGATGTGACAGATTTCACCAAATTCCTATCCCCAAAATGGTTACAAATCATTGCTCTATGGACAATCACCCGCAACCCACATGATTTGCTTGCTCTGGCTAGATGTTCCTATGGAAAACTTGGACTGGCAAGACCCAAGACATTCAACCACAGTTCTGCTGCAAGTCAGACCAGAGACCCAGACCAACGCTATCTTGAGATTTCACTCTTTGGAGATTTGTCATTAGAGCCAAGCAAGTCAACATCTAGAAACACATTCCCAGAGCCATTCAATGCTATGTGACAATCATTTGTCACACGCACTGAAACACAAATAGTAAGAGTCACTGCCTTCTCCCACCTTGTTTCTTGAAGGCAGAGGTGGGAAATAAAGCATGTGGAAGTACCTACTTCTGATTCAGGAGATGACCATCTTCAAGAAAGGCTAATAATGTCAGTAAAAGACCTAACATATACATGGTGCTTTAAACTTTTCACATGTTCCCCAAAGATTATCTCATCTGATTCTCTCTCAACAGCTATTTGAAGTAGGAAGAGGAGAGTTTATTTCCCCCCTTTTATAGATGAAGAAACTGAGGATGTGAGCAAATAATACCTTAGCTGATAACACACAAACAATATACAGCACTGCTGCAGTTAGAACTGATGTCACAGAACCCCTTTTCACCAGTAATTCCATTTTTGGGTACATGTCCCAAAGAATCGAAAGCAGAGTCTCAAAGAGTCTGTATATCCTTGCTCAAATAGCCAAAAGGTGGAAGCAACACAAGTGCCCACCAGTGGATGAACTGATAAGCAAAATGTGGTAAATACACACAATGAATTATTATTTAGCCTTTAAAAAGAAGGAAATCCTACCATTTGCAACAACATAGATGAACCTGCAGAACATTATGCTAAGAGAAGGAAGCCGGGCACAGAAGGACAAACACTACATGTTCTGCGTATATGAGGTATCTAAATCAGTCAAATCCACAGAAACAGAAAGTAAAATGCTGGTGCTGTGGGGAGGAGGAAGTGGGGGTTCTTAATGCGTCTAGAGGTTCAGATCTGCAGGCTGAAAAGGGTCTGGAGACTGGCTACACAGCAATGTGAATTCACCTAACACTCAAACATGGTCAAGGTGCTAAATTTCATGTTGTGTGTGTTTTACCACAGCTGAAAATTTAAACATAAGGGCACCTGGATGGCTTAGTTAAGTGACCAACAATTGATTTTGGCTCAGGTCGTGATCTCATGGTTCATAAGCTTGAGTCCCACTTTGGGCTCTGTACTGACAGAGTACAGCCTGCTTGGGAGTCTCTCTCTCTCTCTCTCTCTCTCCCTCTCTGCCCCTCCTCTGCTCGCTCTCTCAAAAAATAAATTAATTTTTTTAAATTAAAAATAAACATAAAAAACCTCTTTGTCTATTATACCACCTATTCTCTGAAAAGCTGTCAACATGTTTGCTAAACAGGACTCTTGAGTACGCCCCCACCGAGAAAATGGTTCATGAGAAAATTTCTCAGCCAGCCAAGTAGAGGAGACAGAACTCACTGTGATTTAAGGTGAGTTTCAAAAGATGGATGCACAAAATTTTCTATCCAACTTATCTTCCCAATCCACCCTCTAAATTTTAGGATTCAGCTGACAAAACTAAAGCCAGGTGCCCACTAGGGTACATGGCACAGCTGGGCACAGAACACAGGGGAATGATGGCTCCAGGTCCCACCTTTCTGCCAGCTGTTTGCTTCCAGAAAACAGAAGCCCCACAGAATGGAGTCTGTACCTGTGCATGTCAAAGTACTTTCTCTCCAAGTGCCTTTCTCTGTGCAGACGGAAGTAATCTTTCCTCCAGGACTTTCAAAGCCCTCTTGACAGATGTAGTGAGCCACACCGCCCAGCCTGGAGCTGTGATTCCCCACCAGAACCGCATGAGGCACTTCTGGAGGATGGCCACAGTTGATCTCTGCAATGGGAGGTAGCACAGCACCAGTTAGGACCCCCAACTGTTATCCTTATAATTCATATTTTAGACATGAACATTTAGGGGCACCTGGGTGGCTCAGTCAGTTGAGTGTCCAACTCTGGCTCAGTCATGATCTCACAGTTCATAGGTTCAAGCCCCACATCTGGCTCTGTGCTGACAGCTCAGAGCCTGGAGCCTGCTTCAGATTCTTGTCTCCCTCTCTCTCTGCCCATCCCCCGCTTGTACACTGTCTCTCTCAAACAAAAATAAACATTAAAAAATTTGTTTTTAAAAAAGAAACATTTAGTAATGATAGAGTCTACTCATCTGGGGAAAGAGAAAACATGAAGCCCATCAAATAACCCAGTTGCAGACATACAAAATAAGACTGTTCAGAAGTAGAGAAAATTGATATGCCTAACTTTAATGAAATTTACAAACATGCATACATAAAAAATGTTCCAATTAGGGGTGCCTGGGTGGCTCAGTCCGTTAAGTGTCCGACTTTGCCTCAAGTCATGATCTCGTGGTTCAAGAGTTTGAGCCCTGTGTTGGGCTCTCTGCTGACAGCTCGGAGCCTGGAGCCTGCTTAGGATTCTGTGTCTCCCCCTCTCTCCGCCTCTACCCCTCTTGTTCTCTTTCTCTCTCTCAAAAATAAAACATTAAAAAAAATTATAGACTATTTAGATTATGAAGAATTTCTTGGCCAGTGAAATAATCTATCCCTGTATTCTTTTTTTTTTTTTTATGTTTTATTTATTTCTGAAAGAGAGACAGCATGAGTAGGGGAAGGTCAGAGAGAGAGGGAGACACAGAATTCGAAACAGGCTCCAGGCTCTGAGCTAGCTGTCAGCACAGAGCCCTACGCGGAGTTCGAACCCACGAACCGTGAGGTCATGACCTGAGCTGAAGTCAGACGCTTAACCGACTGAGCCACCCAGGTGCCCCTATCCCTGTATTCTCTTAATTATTAAGATTTTCAAGTACCTTTTACTATGTATCATCAGATAATGAACTCCAAAACAGATAATAATGCAATTGTAGTTTTCTTGCCAATTGAATAGAAAATGAAATATATATATATAATATATATAAAAATATATATATATAAAAAATCTTTGAACTTTGTAAAGCAAATTAATAGGGAAAGAATACATAGTCTAAACATTCAATTTATAAGTATCTTTCAAAGAAAAACCAATCAGCTGCATAGTGGAAGACAGACCAGAAATTACAAAGTTGATATGGAATTTCTTCCCTGCAACTCTAACTACTAGAAGACACTAGAATATTTACAGAAACTATCTGAAGTAAACAGATTTTGATGTTACCATTTTAGACTCAGCCAAACTCTACCTCATGTAAAAGAAAGTCATGTTCAGATATTTTACAATTTTAAAAAATCCATACATGTATCTTTTATGGGGGGGGGGAACCCCTCCATTCCAATGACAACAAAAAGTCAGAATAAATATCCTAAGAAAAGAAGACAGCAGGTTTTAGAAGGAACACTAGGAAGCAACAGAGTCAGGAGGAGATAAGTCTCCATAATCACTTATATGTTACCGTAGAGCCTGATACAGCAAGTGGTAAAGGATTCTACAAACAGAAGCTGAACAATGTCAGTGGAGCATCCAGCTCTCAGTTTTTGCTCAGGTCATGATCTCATGATCTCTGAGTTTGAGACTCTGCGCTGGCAGTGCGGAGCCTGCTTGGAATTCTCTCTCTCCCTCTCTCTGCCCTTCCCCAGCTCACGCTCTCTCTCAAAATAAATCAGCTTTAAAAAAAAAGTGGAACAATGCAGGGGTGCCTGGGTGGCTCAGTCAGTTAAGCGTCTGACTTCAGCTCCTGTCATGATCTCACAGTTTATGAGTTCAAGCCCTGCATTGGGCTCTGTGCTGACAGCTCAAAGCCTGGAGCCTGCTTCAGATTCTTTCTCCGTCTCTCTCTGCCCCTCCCTGGCTCGCACTCTCTCAAAAATAAACATTAAAATTTTTTTAAGTAAAGTTGAACAATGTAAAAAAATTAATAATTTGAAAGTAAAATTCCAAATTATTTCAAAAACTCTTTGCAATGAGGCAAAGGGAAGAAATGAACATGGTAAGTTTCTCATGTAGTTATGGGGAGTTCATAGATATAATTTTATTCAAGAAAGCATAATAAATATAAAATAAGGAGGTCATAATAATCCCAAATGCAACCAAAAACCCCAGTTATACCTAAGTACAGAAGAAAAAAATACGTACAAATTTTAGCATTCATTCTGCTTTTTAGTTTTCTCCACAGTCTGTAGAAAGCCAAGAAAATTAAGCACTCTTGACATGCAGGATTTTAAAATATAAGTGCATTTATTGAGATAAAGCACTCAAGATAGAGAAAATGGTATGCTCTGTTCCCAACTCTCCATCAACCATTCTTGGCCTTAGAAATAGGTGGCCTCTCTTAAACGAACTTCAGATAGAGAAGAAGTAGATTTCAGGGAATTGCACTCAACTCCTTCCCATTGTGGGCTCTCAGTCTGTTGCAGAACCCCAGGGTTATTTCCCTGAGGGAGGCCTCCCAGAGCAAGCTTTCATCTGTTGTCACTGAAGTTATCATAAGAACTTCAATACAACAGATCAACCCACCTGGCCAGCCATTTGGTTCCGAGATTTTCAAAAAGGGGTTAGTCTCTGGTCCATGCAGATTCAAATCATGAGCAGTTATGGGACCAGAACCAGGTGGTCATTTCACAAATCCTCTAACCCTGCCTACCTCACAAATCCTGTATTTGCTCACAGGGATTAATTCCCTTTTCATACATGTTTACCAGACACAAGACTTCTTGGCCCTCCTCATGTTTTCCCCAGCATCAAACCTTTATACATATCAACCAGCCCCAAAACATTCCAAGACATGAGTATATTTGTGTGTACATGAGCAGCCAACCAAACAGGTGGTTAATGTTTCATTAGGCTGCCCAGTCATTGTTGACGTCTAAAACATCTTCCAGTTAAAACCAGGGTTCAGTTACAGCAGGAAACAGAGGGAACAGCAATGAAGACATTGAGGTTTATGGGTTTATGGACCTTGAAACTGGAATTCTAAACAGCACATTGGAGAGGGTGGGAAGGAACCCACCAATAGATAATCGGATTAAGGGAGAAGCACAGATTCTAAAGGTATAAGAATACAGAAGATAACTAAACTGCCTTCCATCCTTGGACACGACCAAGGATGGCTTTTGTTAGGAATACAAGATTTTTAAAATTTAATACCAAAAACATGGGGCACCTGGGTAGCTCAGTCAGTTGAGCATCTGACTCTGTTTCAGCTCAGGTCATGATCTCTGCAGTTTGTGAGTTTGACAGTACAGAGCCTGCTTGGGATTCTCTCTCTCCCCCTCCCTATCTACCCCTTCCCTGCTCATGCTCTCTCTCTCTCACACTCTCTTTCTCTATTTCTCTCTAAAAATAAACAAATAAACTTAAAAATTTTTTAAATAAAAAATATGAAAAATAATAATTTGGAAGTTGATGAGACATCAATAGCTTGGTCTCTAGGGACTAAGGTTTAGTGACTCAAGGAGGTGCCCAATGGTAGGCAATCTGGGCCCATGACTCTGAGTTCCCATATGATAGCTACTCGAGTTGGAGGGTCTCTTGGCAAGAGATATTTAGAGAAGATTCTAACATGGCTTGGATTAAACACATAGTTCTAAACAGCAGCTGTACATCTGAATTGTCTATGGGGCTTTGGAAAAACACCCTGCTGGAGCCTCACAGCCTCTCCCCTTCACCAGAGATAAGTCTTCTGAATCAGTAGTACTGAGTTCGGTTCTTGGCAACCACATTTCTACAAGGTTCCAAGTTTGATTTTTATGCATACCCTCGGCTGAGAACCTAAGTGAAATACTAGTATGAATAGCTACCGTTTATCATCACTTGCTTGAGGGTTTAATGTCTTTCTATGAATATATTATGTCTTTCCAGATATATAGCCAGCTCATAAAGGACAGAATCTTTATTTTATAATCTCTTGCACCCGCACAATACCTACTTGAAATAGTATGTTTTAGGGGCTCCTGGGTGGATCAGTTAGTTAAGTGTCCGACTTTGGCTCAGGTCATGATCTCACAGCTTGTGGTTTTGAGCCCCACATTGGGCTCTGTGCTGACAGCCCAGAACCTAGAGCCTGCTCTGGATTCTGTGTCTCTCTCTCTGCCCTCCCCCACTCATGCTCTGTTTCTCTCTCTCTCAAAAATAAATATTTTAAAAACTTTAAATAAATAAAACAATCATACATTTCTTTAAAAAACAATAGTATGTTTTACATAGTAAATACTTAATAAAGAACTGTTCATAGATAGCAGGCTGCTACTTTATCATTCTTCAAGATGCAACAAATGTTACTTTGATATGAATAACAGCCCCTGAGGAAGGAAACAGACCTCAGTATGTTTTAAGTATAAATAACAAGACAGGTATACATTACCTCTGCATTTGTTATCCAACCTACCAAACACCAAGTAGATGAAAACAGAGTAAAAGACTCGCAAAAACTAGTATCAGTCTTGTACCAGGGAATTCTGGGAATGTTGTTCAAGCCTCAATAATTTTAATCATAATAGCATTCATCAAAATCCTACTAAACATAAGTCTATTAGATATACACTATCTAATTGATTTCTCACGGAAAATCTTACAAGGCAGATAGTTTTTTTCTCACGTACGTTATAGATGTGAATATGGAGCTTAAGAGCCCCTAAGAGTTCCTAAGAGCTTATATCACATTCAAAAATCATACCACTAGTAAAAGATAGAGCCAATATTCAAGCCATGGGATGTATGACCCCAAAATCCAGGTCCATTAAATATGGAAAGCCTCGGGGTGCCTGGGTGGCTCAGTCAGTTAACCATCTGACTCTTGGTTTTGGCTGAGGTCATAATCTCACTGTTCATGGGTTTGAGCCCCATGTCAGGCTCTGTGCTGAGCATGCAAAGCCTGCTTGGGGATTCTCT